CCCTAGGGGAAGATTAGGGAAGAAAGAAAAGGGAGAAAGGAGGTCTCTAGAGCTTGAGCTTTTCTTGGAACCTTTGATTCAAGGTAGAGGATTCTTCTCAAGTCCTTTCATTGAGACTTAGGGTATAATTATGTATGTTTTCAATCTTCTTGATAATTATATGATAGATAAACATGAGTTCTTAATTTCTTTATCATTGGAACATAGTTTTTAGCAAAATATATATTTTGGTTCAAGGTGTATTTGTTCTCGAATTTTCAAAACCCTAACTTTTCCAAAATACATGTTCTATGGTGAAATTCATAGTGATTATTGATTTCTAAATTCTTATGCTTGATTAAATTATGTTTTCATCTAAATGTTTGTTCTTGTTCCAAGAAATTGGAATTTTTGGCAAAATCCTAGAATTTTGAATATCCAAATTATGAAGGTTTTCTTGAGATGATCTCTTGCATAATTTAATTTCCTATTACTGTAGTATATTGAGAATTGAAAATTTGTGATACTTGAATTGATAATGAAAATTGTGATTGGTTAAAATTGTGTTTGTTGAGAATATTTTGGTTTCATCTCTTGTATGGTTTGTTGTAACAGACTTGAATTGTCTTTGAGAGCTGCCGTAGAGTGTTAGAAGTTATTCTATCTCAGTGGGGGTGAGATGATTTCCTAATATTTGTAGTGGATTGTTGTTTGTGAGAGCAACCACTATTGTTCACGTAAGTTCGAAACTGATGGATGGTATACCTTTCCTAGGAAGGATTCGTCAATGCCGTGGGAGACAGTATACGCCCTTCCTAAAATGTTTGTGATTGTGTGATTGTGATGGGTGAACGAGGTAGAATCGTTATGTAGATTCTAGAGAAGCAACCAACATATATGACAATGAGGATAAACCAACATATATGAGAATATGGAATGGTATTACTAAGTTATTTATTGATCATTTTAATCTCTTACAAGTTTATTTTTGTAATTGATTTACTGTATTTTGTACACTTGAGATCATTACAACTATCATGGTTTTATTCTCAAAATCTATATATGCTATTTTTCAAAAGAGACTTGTCATCTTTTATTATTTTTTTAAACCTTGTTGGGATTTGAGAAGATTTTCCTACAGAGCTTAGTGCTCACCCCTTACAAACAACAATTTTTTTAGATTTTGATTTAGAGGAGGAGCTTAGAGTTAACGAGCAGATAGCTTGGAAAGCTCAACTTGATGGGCATGTGGACCTGGAGGGGAATGTATAGAACTATTCTTTTTATGTCCTAGACTAGAAGGTTTATTTTGAGATAATGTTCATGTTAATGTTTTCTTATTCCGTCACAAGATAATAGCTAATTTTTGGGGTGTAAGTGCCGTAGTTGGACATATTTTTTTGGATGTAATGGTCATGATTTGACATATTCTTTTGGATGATGAATGAAATTTTTTTTATTTATGAATCTTATTAGTTGCACTCATGATGTGAATGATTTTAAATAGTAATGTCGTCAAAGGGAGATTTTGGGTGTTACAGTACCCCGTAAATATTGAAAAATCCGAAGAACAACAGACCAGTGAAGTGTGGTAAGAGCAGCAACAAATTGACTAACCACATGAACTGCATAAGCAATATCTGGACGAGTAACAGTAAGATATACCAAACTCCCAACAATAGTACGATATAAAGTAGGATCAGCCAGAAGAGAACCATCAGAGGAAGTATAACGAATATTAAGCTCCAAAGGTGTGTCAACAGTTTGAGTATCCGATAAGCCAGCTCGCTGAATAACATCTGAGGTATATTTTGACTGAAGAAGAAGATAACCCTTGGGATAGAAAGCAACCTCAATCCCTAAGAAATATCGAAGTGAACCCAAATCTTTCATCTCAAAATAATTTTGTAACTGAGTTTTCAACAACTAAACTCCAGCATTGTCACCACCTATAATAGTCATGTCATCCACATAAATTAATAGAAGTATAAAACCAGAAGAAATGGATCGAAGGAAGAGAGCAGAATCATGATCACTAGTACAGAAGCCTAAATCACAGATGACTGAAGAAAATTTTGTAAACCATGCCCTCTGGGCCTGTTTAAGACCAAATAAAGTCCTGTGAAGTTTGCACACATGACCAGGACTACAAGACAACCCAGAAGGAGGAGTCATATAGACCTCTTCAGACAAATCACCATGAAGAAAAATATTTTTCACATTCATCTGGGATAGGCTCAACTGACGAACAGCTACCACGACAATTATTATATGAATCGTGGTCATCTTAGCCACTGGAGCAAAGGTCTCATCATAGTCAAGCCCATACTCTTGAGCAAAATTCTTGGCCACTAATCTAGCCTTGTACCTTTCCACAGAACCATCACATTGAGTTTTGATTTTATAAACCCACCTACAATCAATGGAGCGTTACCAGGAGGTAAAGAGACAAACTCCTAAGCTCAAGTCTTATGTAGCTTAGAAAGCTCCTCATCCATAGTTTGTTGCCAAAGAGGATCAAGTATAGCCTCCTTATAGGAAGTTGGTTCAGACAGAGAATGTATAGAAGTCAAGAAAGAACAAAAAGTAGAAGAATAGCAAAAGTTGGACCAACCAAATCTGTCAGGACACTTCCGATTGTGTTGAGGGTAACGTGGAGTGTGATCCACGGTGTCAAAAATTGATTGGGAGCCAAGAGGTGCAGATAGAGACACAACATCTGTGGAAGAGACAGTAGGAGGCCTACGGACATAAGTATGCACAATTAGGGGACGGATAACAAACAACTCAAGTAAAGAGGAAAAAGAAGAAGAAGGGGAGGGAAGATCAGCTACAGTCATATCACCAACATAAGAATCAAGAGAAATATTAGAGGGAAAGGAATCAAGATATATAAGATCAAATTTATGCAGAGATGAAGAACTAGATGGAATAGAGAAAAAAGGAATATGATCTATAAAAACAACATGACGAGAGACATAGAGTTTCTGTGTACTAGGATCATAACATCGAAATCTCTTTTGTCCCTCACCGTAGCCAAGAAAAACACATAAGGCTGAACGAGCCGAGAGTTTGATACGATGAATACTATGCAACAAAACAAATCATGTACATCCAAACATATGTAAGGAGAAATAGCCAAGTGTCTTACCACATAGTTTTTCAAAGGGTGAGACACTAGAATTAAGGATTGTAGGAATGTAGTAAATTAGATGAACTGCTATAAGAACTGTTTTTCTCAAAAAAGAGCTAGAGACACTGGATGACAACAACAATGAACGAGCTGTCTCAATAATGTGACGATGTTTCTGTTCTGGCACTCCATTTTGAGCAGGTGTGTCAGTACAAGAAGACTGAAAAACAGGGTCATCAGATTTCAACAAATCACAAAATGCACTAAAAGAATATTCTCCACCTGGATCACAACGAAAACATTTTATGATAGAAAAATATTGAGTACGCACCATAGCACGAAAGATAGAGAAAATAGAAAAGAACTCAGACTTACGTGTTATTAGATACACCCAACAATATCTGATATGATCATCAATAAAATAAACATAATATTTAGACCCCTTTTTAGTAGCAATAGGAACTAGTCCCCAAATATCAGAATGTACAAGATCAAAAGGTGCAAGGAAACGAGAATTACTTTTATTAAAAGGTAATGCAGTAAATTTAGCTAACTTGTAGCCACTACAATCTAAAATATCATGACACTCTAAACTATCCAAACTACCAGTAGAAGCTAAAAATTTTAAACGAGAATGAGAAATATGACCTAAACGAGAATGTCATAAATAAAAAACTAGACGATTTTAGACTCAATTGAAAAGAGGATAAATCAACAGTAGATACAATAATTTCAGGGACATGAAGTTCGTCCAACACATATAACCCTCCATTTCNAAGAGAAATATTAGAGGGAAAGGAATCAAGATATATAAGATCAAATTTATGCAGAGATGAAGAACTAGATGGAATAGAGAAAAAAGGAATATGATCTATAAAAACAACATGACGAGAGACATAGAGTTTCTGTGTACTAGGATCATAACATCGAAATCTCTTTTGTCCCTCACCGTAGCCAAGAAAAACACATAAGGCTGAACGAGCCGAGAGTTTGATACGATGAATACTATGCAACAGAACAAATCATGTACATCCAAACATATGTAAGGAGAAATAGCCAAGTGTCTTACCACATAGTTTTTCAAAGGGTGAGACACTAGAATTAAGGATTGTAGGAATGTAGTAAATTAGATGAACTGCTATAAGAACTGTTTTTCTCAAAAAAGAGCTAGAGACACTGGATGACAACAACAATGAACGAGCTGTCTCAATAATGTGACGATGTTTCTGTTCTGGCACTCCATTTTGAGCAGGTGTGTCAGTACAAGAAGACTGAAAAACAGGGTCATCAGATTTCAACAAATCACAAAATGCACTAAAAGAATATTCTCCACCTGGATCACAACGAAAACATTTTATGATAGAAAAATATTGAGTACGCACCATAGCACGAAAGATAGAGAAAATAGAAAAGAACTCAGACTTACGTGTTATTAGATACACCCAACAATATCTGATATGATCATCAATAAAATAAACATAATATTTAGACCCCTTTTTAGTAGCAATAGGAACTAGTCCCCAAATATCAGAATGTACAAGATCAAAAGGTGCAAGGAAACGAGAATTACTTTTATTAAAAGGTAATGCAGTAAATTTAGCTAACTTGTAGCCACTACAATCTAAAATATCATGACACTCTAAACTATCCAAACTACCAGTAGAAGCTAAAAATTTTAAACGAGAATGAGAAATATGACCTAAACGAGAATGTCATAAATAAAAAACTAGACGATTTTAGACTCAATTGAAAAGAGGATAAATCAACAGTAGATACAATAATTTCAGGGACATGAAGTTCGTCCAACACATATAACCCTCCATTTCTATGGCCAGTCTCAATCAGTTTCTTGGACCGTGGATCCTGCACAACACAACCAGTAGAAGAAAACTCAACTAAGAATCCCGAATCAAATAACTGACTAACAGATATTAAATTTAAAGTAAGTTGAAGAATACAGTAGACATCAAAAAGTGTAAGCTAGGAAGACACGATAGTTCCAACACCAGCCAAAGACATTTGGGTGTCATTGGCTGCAGGAACAGATATAGAAGGAGGGGAAACAATAGAAACAAATAAGGAAGAGTTACTAGTCATATGATGAGTGACTCCTAAGTTAAAGACTCAGGCAATTCGAGAGATACGTGAAGGTCCTGTAGTAAATGAACCTGCAGAAGGAAAAATTGATAGGGTACCTGATTGATGAAGAGAAAGAAGCTTTTGCAACTAATCAGCTATCATAGTTATGCTGGGAGCTGATGGGAGTGTCTCATCCATTGGTGCAGTAGCTGCGGCTGTATAATGATCTTTGAGCCTAAATGGCTTATGTAAGGCCCCTTTGGCATTCTTATTCACCAATTTAGGACATTGAGCCTTCCAATGATCCTTCTCACGACAAAAACTACACTCATCAAATGCAGCTCGACCCCAATATTTAGTTTGTGAATGAGAAGTCCCTCTATGTGGTACAACCAGTACAGTCTGATTGGCAATGAAAGAAGACCTTTTTCAAAAAGAGTCTTAAGACGGACTTCTTTAGCCAGAAGCTCATTCACGGCTGCATCAACTATGAGAAGTGGGAGAAGATGGAGAATAGAACCACGAAGGCCCTCAAAGTCATCTGCAAGGGCCATCAAAAACTGTACCAATCGTTGCTCCTCCCTAAAAGTACAATATATCATATGAGTACTCAATTGAGCTGGCTCAGCAAGTATTAACTGATCCCAAAATCCAATCATAACTGAGTAGAACTTCTGTATGGTCTTATCACCCTGACGTGCAGCTCGAATTTCATGCTCAAGCTGATATCTCTTTGCAAAATTAGACTGAACAAAAAATGTAGTTAAATAATCCCAAATCTGTTTGGCTGTGTTAAACTTAGTCAAATGCATACCAATGGTCTGATCAACTGAGTTGTTAATTCAAGTGATAATTTTATCATTGTTAACTTCTCAGGTATTCTTTAATTCAGCACATTTCTCTGCCTTCGAATCTGTTGGTGCTTGCAAAGCACCACTAACATAATTACACATCTCTTTTCCAAATAGAAAATTCTTCATCACATAAGACCAATATACATAATTTTTACCATTTAATCCGACACTAATAGCTTGCAGAGAATCAAAATGTCCACTTGCCATAATGCTAACAAGAGATCTCAACAAAATAATACCCAAAATAAAGCAGAAAATAACAATAAATTCAACAACACCAGTATCTATGCCTAGCAAAGTCACTGGTCACAAAGCCCAACAAACCAAAGTTCAATAATACGTAGGTAGCAAACAAAATCCACAAAAATGTCAAGGCCCAGGAAAACAACTGCTCTTAGTGGATCAAAAGAAAAACAGTCCAGTGAGAACTAGGAGGAGGCAGCAGCAAGAAACCGAAATCCAATCACACAAGAAACAAAAATCCAACCACAAACTAGAAGCAAGAAATATACTAGGGCAATATAATAATATAAATGACTAATCTATCCCTAATGCTAATATACTAGATTATTCTAACAACTATAACCTTGGAGATGATTTTTTGTATAATATATTAGAACAGGAGATAGGCCTAAAATCACCCATGGAAGAAGGGTTAGGGCCCTTGGGAACGAAGGACAAGATAGTGGTGTTGACTTCTCTCATCAATAATATCTTTGGCCATATTTAGTGACTTCTCCTCTGAGAGTTGTTTCCAGGTATATTGGCAAGCTCCTCATCCTAGTTAAGAGAACATGAGGTACTAGCTTCAAGCAGGTTCTGAAAAAGACTGATAACAGTTTCTTAACTTCTTCAAAATCTGTAGTAAAGGATCCATCAGCTCTTGTAACAGGCAAAATCTTGTCCCTATTTCTCCTTGCATTGATTGTTCTACCGAAGAAAGTAGAGTTTTGGGCACCATCCTTTAGCCATTGAATTATAGATTTATGCCCTAAGAACCAATCTTCATTCCTTGCAACATAAGCATACTCCTGCAGAAGATGCTTCTCAAGGGATCTGAGTGCAGCATCCATGGGGACAGAATCAAGAAGCCTTTGGCATTTGTCCAACTCCTCTTTTTGCAGCTTGAGCTTTTAAGGGAAACCTTCTCTTGTTGAGGCCTGTTAATTTTCTTAAATTCTTGCTTGAGCAGCTTTAGTTTTTGAGCAACTTGAAATTGTAAGGATTCTATCAAGTTTCAACACATTGATCTGGATGTCTCTTGTTAGACCAAATGTATAGCAACCAAACGAACCTCAGATCAGTTAACTCAGCTCCCTGTATACAGTTCTCAAATTCATACATGGCTTGATTCCCAGTTTCAGCTCCACCCATAGTCTCTTGAAGGTTTCTTACTGCATTAAAATTGCCTAAAATGGCCCAAGGCTTATTGGAAAAAAGCTGTGCTTTGTGAATTATGTTCTTCCATAGAGGTTTTCTATCCCTCTCATCATTGAAAGCAAATACAAATGAAACAAAGAAGGAAGCATTACTGTCTATGTGTGTGACCACACAGCGAACTACTGCTCAGTTTCTTCTAGTTTTTGGACCCTTAATACCATTGGTTTCCATCCAACCCATATTCTATCCAAAAAATGACTCTTTATAATTATGAATAAAAAGTCCCAATGTTTGAAAACAGACCACAAGGCTGCATCCTTATTTATAGACCTGACCTGAGTCTCCAGTCCACTACACCAATCAGATCTAGTTGGTGATAAAAAATAAGCTTCCTAACCTCTTCNATTTAGTAAAATTCTATCTTATACTTATATCACGCCGTTATACCACATTTATCGGGATCTATAATTTAACAAAATTTGGGCAAAGTCTCCTTTGTACGGAAAGTTTTATCCAAAACTCAATCTGTGCAATCATATAACATTGACCACATTGAGTCCATTTATCCATACTCGTATAACAACATGCAATTTTACATTAAAAATAGTTCATATGAGTTTGATTACAATTCTTTTCCATAGATTAACATGCCCAAAATCAAATTTAGCAAATGTTTTACAAAAGATGGTTTAAAATTCATAAGTAGGTTTTTCTTCATCTTTGAGGCCCCAAGTGCGAGCCGTCCACCGGTATATATCCCGCACTTATAATGTTTCCTATAAAGGATAAGTCATGTTCAATAGGAAATCTTCTAAAGAGGCAACTCCCCCAATCTAGATGCATATGAAATGTCACATGCAATTTCAACAAGCCACAAAACATTTCAATCAAGAATATGCAACTCAATGTTAGAATTCACTATGTCATCTCATGAAATTAGATGAGACTCACTCATGCAACTCAACCCAAGCCTTCACTATCTCCCATCACCTATGCAATGTCATGAGTATAAAATCGGGTATTCCAAGACCTTGCCATTGATGTTGCACATCCAATGACCTTTTAAAAATCTCTGGGTCTTTTTTGAGGTGGGTATTTATGGACTAACATCAACGGCCCCCCAGTCGACACGAAATTCATGAACTTCTACCAACGGTTCCGTGTACACCGACACATTTTATAGACTAAACCAAGAGAGTGCGTATCCTAAACACCGGGTCTCTCACCCGAGGGATAGTCTAGCCTTTTTTGTTAACCCTGATCTAATTTTTATGCAAACCGTGTGACTCAATCAGGTCCTCGACCCAACTTTTTTGAGTCCACCCATTATCCACCAAGTGTGGTATGTGATGTCAACCATACACACACAGCCATAAAATGCGATGTTTTTATGCATATGTAATGTAATATACAATTGCAAAACAACAATCATGTCCAATATGCTATGAATGTCATATGAACCAATTTAACCACATATCAACATATTCCATGACAAATTATATCCCAAGCATATAATTACCATAATTCATCATAATGTCAATATATCAACAAACATATATCAAAACTTTCATTCAATTACTATTTTCCCAAGCATGTTATACATAATCCATGCAATAACACACTTAATTTCACATAGATGTTTAATCAAACACTTTCAAGGCACCAAATCATGTAATCACATAAACTACTCAAATTCATTACATAACTCATGAAATCACATTAAGTGTTTTCTACAAACCCAATTATCAAAACTTTCAAGAAATCGCAAGGTAGCAATTTCTAATTATCAATTCATACTCAAATTGGATTTACTCATTTCTAATATTCATTTTATCAATTTAACAACAATAGGTAAGTGTTAAAATACATCTAACAACCTATTCATTTCACATAATCGTCCTGGGTTGAAAACAAATCTAGTTATGATGAAAATCTTACCTCTTGAAGTGTAAAACAATGGTAAAAAAGCCTTCAATAATACCTCTCAAGCTCTAACTTTGATTTCTCAAAGATTTTGTTTTTGAATCTTCAGTAAAATCCATCTTTTTTGATATGGTTGCATAGCCCTCACCGTGTAAATGAACTTTAATACTTGGGCCGAAGGATTCTGACCCGCGAAACTCTGTAGATCATAGAGAAAAGGTAAAATTTTCTCTCTTTTTCCCTTTCTTTCCTCTCTTCTCTTCTAACGTTAAAACCTAGTAGAGATGTGTGGAGAAAAATCAAAATTTTGTCTCCTATTTATACCATTTAATGCTTGGTTCACGTCGCATTACAGATTCCTTATTTTCGGGTCCGTTTTCATCTTGAAAAGATTTTTCATCCCGGTTTAATTTCAAAATATTTTTATATGAATTTTTTTAAAATTATTTTACAATTTTTGAAACTTTATTTCTGGAGTCGTTTTTTAAGTCACTCGACACCTCGTCACCTTGTAAAACATGAAAAATTCGACTATTTCGGAATCCGACAAAAATTGACTGGGCATTTAGATTTCACTAGACAAATCCAATGATAATGTCCGTTTTGTCATTTAAATTCTAGAAAAATATAGGTTTTCAACCCATATCGAAGTGACAATTTACTGTTTTACTTTTTTTTCACTAAAATTCAAATTTATCCAAATTTTACAAAAATTGTCAATGTAAGAAAGAGAGATTGATAGATAGATAAAAAGAAAATAGGGAAGAAAAAGTGAGAGAATAATAGAGAGACAGAGGGAGAGAGAGAGAGAATAATAAAATAATAAATGACTTTTTAGTCTTTAGATATAGACTTATATTTATAGTCCAACAACAAACATTTCAAGTCCAATGATCACTTTTTCAAGATACAACAGGCTTGACCCAGCCCACCCATAAGCCCACCTTTATAATCAATCATAAAAATTTTGGTATAAAACGATTTGTTATCAAATAGATCGAAACAAGTTAGTAATTAAGTAGAAATTTCAATTCTTCAAGGTGTTTCAAAATAGTTCATTGTGTTTCGATAAGTTTCAGCATATTTCAACAAGTGTTTTAGAATATTTTGAGACATTTCAAGATGTTTTAATATATTTCAAAATGTATTTTAAAAATAAATTCATATATTTTTATTCTTTTTTTAAAACGGATTTAGTTCTTCTCCAATTCATTATGCATGGTGAAAAACTATCAAAGGTTCTTAAAATTTAAAATACACATTTAAAGTTAAAATTTAGGATAAATCCGCACCATTAAAATGAATTGGATGATTTTTAATTATTTTGTAATTGAATAGAAGCCTAATTTTTTTAAAACATCTTGTGAATTTTTTGAAGCATTTTTATTTTCAAGGGTAGATAATCGAACAAGCTTTAACATGCTCGAGTTGTCTGTAAAGCTCATTTTTATTAAATGAACATAAAAAATTATTCAAATTTGAGTTTGTCGAGTTCAAGCCGAAAGTCTAAAAAAATATTTAAGTTCGATTCGTTTAAAAAAACAAATCGAACTTAAACGAGCCCAAAATGAATAGAAATCAAATCAAATTCGAGTAACTCGGTTCGATTGTCAGCCATATTTCTAGGTGATCAAAACAATTTGATAATTGCTTAAGCATTTTCAACCCTAACTTAAATTTAGACTCAAATAACAAAGTCTAAAAAATTTGGTCCAACTTTTAACTCAAACTTATACTAAATAAAGGAAGACTAATTTTTTTATTCAAATTAAGAGATATTCAAATTTTTAATAGTGAGATTTTAACTTAACCAATAATCATCATTATTCTTT